GATCTTAAACAGGAAGATCGGGAATTTGAATCGATGCAGCTTGTACACGAGGCCATCGCCTTCTCAACGTTCAACAATGCCATAGCAGATGTCTTGGAAACGGTATTGTTCCGCTTGATGATGTAAGTAACCCGTGGCCTTTCCTAAACCCGAATTGCTGTTTGAGAAAGATGTCATTGTTATTTGAAAACACCAGCAGACGGCTGAGTATCAACTTTTCGAATGGGGCGATAGCTTTTGAAACTGGTAGGGTCTTTACAAGGCTTGTGAATTGGAATGACTTTTGCTATCTTCCAGCATGCAGGAAAGTAGTCAAGCACCAGACACTTACTGAAGACCAAGGTGTTCGAAGAAGTCAATACTCACTCTATCGACACCAGCCCTTCATGTTCTTGGTTGATTTAATGGCTGCTACGGACAACTTCGGGGGTGGCAGCGACTCTAGACATTGCCTCCTACAGGCTCGTGGAGACTCACCATGGCTTAATCAAGGTTATGTGAATTCATAAAATGTTGTCCAAGTGCATTGGCCTTTTCAACTGGGGTTATGAGTAAGGAAGAATCCATATTCAGATTAAGAGGGGAAAAAGGAGGGATGGGCATCAGCTTATTTTTTAAAAATTTTTGGCATTTTCCAGAATCCACAATCTGGGAGAGTACGCTGGTAATGCCTACGAATCGCGTTACGGAGTCTAAAGAGATCCTTAGTGGGCCTGGCAAGGTTCAGAGTATTACTCACCTGCCTGGAAACTGGCACATGTAGCTCCCTGGCTCGGGAAATCGCTTCAACTGCGCCCAATCTACCCGATGGTTATTGCGTCGGAAAGCTTCGAATCGGTTCACCGAAGAACCAACTTCGGCTTCCATCGGATATTGGTCCGAGCTGAGCTCCTGGTTGGTGATATGTTGAGAAGATATCGATGGTTGCGTGAACACCGGACCGACTCAACCGGGTGGGAGTGTCCGGAATCAAGATGTTGTACTGTACTTCCTGCAGGTCGTTGTTCAGGATCGTGCCGATTTGATTGCGTCGACTGTTGCCTCAAGCTTGATGTTTGGCGTTCAGGTCACCAGCAATGATGTATTTTTGCCGCCGCCGAGTCAGCTTCTCGTCGAAGGTCAGCTGCCGTCCCATCCCTGTTATTGACTTATCTGGGGCAGTAAGCCGCAATGATGGTGAATGGGGCCAAGCGATGTGCTGACCTCAACCCCTTGTGCCTCACAGCTACGGCTACTCCCCCTCCTCTTGCACTGATTCTGTCGAGTCTCAAGAGTCGAAAGTCCGATAGGCAGATGTTCACTTGCGGCTTTAGATGGGTTTCGGTGATGATGACAATGTCGATCTCCTTGGCGTTAAGAAAGTCAGCAGTTCGATATGCTTGTTCTTCAGCAAACAAGCATTCCAATTAGCAACCTTTATAACTTCACGGTCCTTACTTATTGACGAGGGACAGGGCAGCATAAGGCTGTTCAGATCGGGTCTTGCAATCACGCACGATGATGATGACCTCTGCCACGAGTATCACAAGCAAGTTCCTGCCACGATAAACCAGGGGCAGTGGAGGGACCTTGGTTCGGCTGGGCCGCTGCAGCAGTGAGGCGATGCTGTGCTGAACGGTGGCTGAGGGCCGCTTGCTCTATCGGAGAATACCCAGCGGGGGTGCAAAGGGCTCGTTGATTGTTAAGGAGAAGCGGTGCTAGGTTCTGGACCAGTCAACGGGGCAGGAGTGCATGGTACAGAGCACCAGTGTTGGCCGAGGGCGTACGATTATTGCGGTGGCGACCGGTCTGGTTGGCTGTTGCCGTCTTTTGGCGAATATGAATGAATTCCGCTCGCTTGGGGCAGTCACGAGTGTCCTTCAGCTCGGTAAGTGTGGTGGAGCCCTTCGTTAAGTGGACCAGGAATAAATGGATTCATCGGATACACTGCCTCTGGTTGTAGATCAAGCCGCTCCAACTCATCCTTCACAATGGCCGCCTCGAACCTCGCAAAACCACCTTCAGTGGCTTCAGTGACAGCAAATCATGGGTGTAAAAGCTTGTTGTCCGTCAGGAAACTCCCGATCGACTTGCACATAATTTTCGTACCGACGCTGCAGAGCTTGAACCGAGACTGTAGGTTGTGATCTGCTAACACAGTCCTAAGCTGGTCGACATCCTTCATCTAAGTAAAGAGCGGAGGAATCCGATCCTTTTCTTCCTCGAGCACCGAGAACTGGTTGCTTTGCAGCACACGGTTATCAGCGTCGTCCACTGACGCTCCGGTCTATGTTCGGGCCTTCTTCATAGTACGCTGACATACCATTTGTTGGTTTTTGGCCAGTTGAACTACTCGAGAAAGCTAGCGGGAATCCGAACTGAACTGAACTGCTTGACGGCCAACAGATTTATAGAATTTTGTCTTTACTAATGTTCAGGATCCAGTTAAAATTTGAATAATAAGACATAATCCTAATAATGAACCAAAATTTCATCAAGCAGAAATATTAGAAGGGGCAGGTAAATCATTGTAAAAGTTTAGCAAACGTTATAGAACTTTGAGAAAGTTTGTGGAACTTCATCGAGCTTCGTAGAAGTTCTTAAAATTGCGTAGAGCTTCAGGAAATTTGATAGAAATGCAGTAAATTTTGTTGAAATTCAGCTTAACCTTGTAGAAGGTCAGCAATATTCGAAGCACTTAAGTGAACTTCGCAGGTTCAATTTACCAGGGATGGGATGTGACTGTCAAATAAGAACAGTCGTCGACTACCTCGTATAACTGGTTCCAAACGTAAACAAGCCATATGAAACCTACATGGTTTGCAAACATTCAGAAGCAGCAAATGCAGTTACTGATCTTATCTATCATGAAGCATTGTAATTTCATTTCATTTTGCAGCGTTTGGTGGGGCAATGGGAGCGCAAGTCAATCCAAAGCCGAGGATAAAGGAAGAGTAATGGCTGAATAGTCTATGCGGACCACTTGAACGCCATGGGAAAAGGAAGGGATTGAAGAGGTCGGTTATTGGGGGGTTTTGAGGAAATGACACATAGTACTAGATTTGTGATGCAAAATGTAAAGAAACCGGAAATCCATCTCCCACTGATCCATCCTTTCACATGTATACCAAATTGATATTTTAAAGCAACCATCAAAATAAACAGACAATATATGAAAAGGCTAGTTGCCAGTTGCTTTAAAGGCTAGTTGCCTCCCTAATCGGACCCCCCCCCCCCGCATCCTAACTCTTTTGTCAATCTACTTAATGTTATTAGGTTGTCTAAATTTTTTTACTTAAGTTCATTTGATGATTATGATATCTCATTAGTCTAATTTAATAAATAATTGAAATCTCTAATTTACCTAATCAATCATAACTCATGCTTTATTAAGTACCTAAACTGCTATGTAATCTTAAATTTAACGTGTTTCAAGTAATTTTGACTTTGGTCTATATTTATTATATCTTAGATCGACCCAGGTGACACCTTCAAGTGACTAAAATGCTTCAATTTGAAATTAGTTTCCTAGCTGATTTTTAAATTATACAGGGTATATGCTCCAACTACACTCACACGTTTCCACTATGTCGTCCCACAAAATTACGTATGGATATGTCACAATAGAAGCACGCCACAGTGGAAATCCCGAGCCATAGTTCAAACACTTATCCCAAATCAAAATGAAGCACATAAAAGATTAGTTACAATACCATGTACAAAAATGATGTTTAACATTGTTTCCTGAGTAATACTTCAATGAAAACAACAATGAAAGCTTGTCACGCAAATAGAAGGAGCACCGTTGGGCACTTTCTGAAATATTTCAATAGTATAATTCCCTTGCAAACCCAAATAAATCTATCTGCGTTAAATAAGAGTGATTTGCGGCAAAACCCGCCAGTATCACACCCAACGTCAGTGCCTATACGTAAGCGTACTACGACGCGGCTCTCAATTAAAGGAGTAACAAGTGTGATACTATCACTGCTAGACTAGATCTTTGGTTCTCTCATGCAGTGGTTTATCAGAGAGGGGAAGCTTAGTAATCCCCATTGCCTGCCCATGACGCCATTCTATCGTGGCATGAGCCAGCAACGCCGACCATAAACCTACCGTCTCCAACACTCCACTATAAAGCATGAAATTAAGCCCACCAACAGCAAGGTGCAAAAACTAGCAAAGGGGAGGGATCTATCTATCTAAGCATTGTAATTTCATAAAAATAATCTATACTTTTTCATAACACATTCTTATTTTTAAGCTCAAGGATAAAAACCAACAGGCTCAGTGCAGAAAGTGTAAAACCAGCATATTTTTTTATGATTCAACTGAGTTTTCAATTACAGTAGAGTTACAGTACAGTACAGTACAGTTTAATTACAATTACAGTGGCTCAGAGCTTTTGACGGCAATCAGCTGAGAAAGATCAAACCAGTTTTAAACTTTTAGACAATTTTCAAGAAGTTTTCCATACCCAGCTAACACCCAACAACCCTTTTTCTGAAGTTTTCGAATTCGACAACAGTCTTAACATGACATTTTAATTACTACGACATCAAACGGTAGTGCATCTTCATTTCAGCAATATTTTCCCTTCTACCCAAGAGGAAAATCGATTCCCCCTAGCAAGAACGGTCATCGATAAAAAGGATACCGTGCCACGGCTCATCCGGAGGCTGGAAACAATAATGATTGATAACCATTTCCCATCCCGGAGCCCATCCTTCGTCGCCGGCTTGAAAAGGGAAAAAAAGTGGGTCTTCCCAAGTTTGAGCTTGGGTTAATAATTTTTCAAACACTGACGGCCGGTCCCTTTGCCTGGGTTCGAAAAAGCTTTCCCCCCTGATTAGACGAGATCAAAAGTCGCACACAAATTTAATGAAGCAGAAATAAGTGGTCCATGGGCATCCTGTAAGGGGCGGATGATTGGACTGAAAGCTATAAATGACGACGGACGGCTTGGCAAACGATTGAAGTTATCCCCGCTATTGTTGGTAAATGATTGAGAAATTACTCACCCTTTCACAGCTAATCCCAAGTGTACTGCGTGTAGTAGCACGAATCCTATCAGCAGCCACATTTTCACTTTGCACCCACGCCCCTTCCGGCACTGATTTGTGTGTCCTTTGAGGTACCCCCTGCCCGTGACCCGTGCACTATAACGTTGATCCTCCATGTGGCACCGCTGTCGACACGAGTCGTCGTGATCGTGATCGTGATCGTCGTCTCCGGCGATTCAAGGCCTCTTCCATCACGTGCAATCTTCCACTACTGCAGCAGCAACAACAATCACAACAGTAACAGCTATCGAAGCCACCAGTTTTCATCCCGTTGCCATTGGTTACCACCAGCACCGCACAACATCACACTATTGGTGGTGAGATCACAGCCGGCTGTGACCGCACCAACCCGCCACCGTCGTTGCATGAGTTGTTGCCATGGGGATTCTTCGAGCGAATGAAATTTTAATTTTTCAATCAAACGCCCGAATCAATCGGGGTGTCACTAAAAAAAAGCTCCAAGTTTGTGTCGGTCAGTCAGTTTAATTATTGTTGGTTTTTCCACTTTTCGGACATTCTTCCGGTTCACAACACTGAGGGGCTATATTTAGAGCACTGATCCACTGAAGCTTTTCGCAAATATTTTTCTCCGTCGTTGCGGGACGTGACTCCCCGCCTAGTGCGATGCATTTCTCGATAACGGCTGGCCTGGAGAAAGAAAGAAAACAACAGAATGAAAGCAGATTAGTACGCGGTAAAATAAATATTTAAAAATTGGAATCATTTTTGTATGGATTATTTATAGCCGCCTAGGACGTGCCGAGCGCTAGGCGTCACTGTGAAAGTGTTGGTGTACTTTCGTTGGATGGAGGATAATCCTGAAAAATGAGCTTGCTGAGGTTGTTCCCGTGACCAACGGCGTAGTCAGGTTTTGGGGCGAATATCACCAGGCTGAACGATTTTAAGCCGAATACTGCACATTTGATGCATAGTTAATCCACGATGTTAAAAATCATTTCTACAATATAGCTCGAATGAACTGGTCTACCAGATTCTAGAAAAAAAAAATGACAAGTCCAGTAGGCCGGGTCGATTTTTACTAATTGCATAATCAAGAAAGGTACATATTGTAAGTTGGAAAACTGTCTTAAAACAAATCCTGCGAAGTTCCAAAATTGAAAAAAAATGTCTTGCTTGATAGATCTTGATTTGTAATTTTATATCAAAATCCCACTTCTCGGAATGGGAAGATCAAAATCCGTTCTCCAGGACCAGCAACAGTTTATTTAGATCATATTTGCAGAAAAGCTTAAAATTTGAAAGCCATTCAATTGAGAAGATGCGGCAGATGTCTTCAGCGAAGTTTTGATGTCTTCAGTGAAGTTTTGTGCTTTAAAATTCCCTTCTTTGGGTGATTATAAACATTAGGGTGATCCTAAAATTGATTTATATTTAGAATTTAAAATTTAAAAATGCACATAGATGAAGTACAATTAAGTTATTGCCTCTAACGAAGTTTTTAGGTTGATAAAAGCGAATCTGATGAAGAGGTCGTCCATTAATTAAATCCATAAGGACGCGGCATAAAAAAATATCTTTTTTTGTCTGACGTTTAACGATGTTGAAATGTTTTACAAAGTTGTAGAACTGGAAACTTCCATAAACTTTTTAAGACACAAATTAGCTAACTTGTAATTATCATTGAGATATTCAAACTTTGTTATGGATCCCCGGACATCATTTCCTCTTCCACCATATGAAGCACACTGCATGCTTATAAACATACAAACATTAAAAGAGCGAATATGCAATGGTCTCATTTGTAAACGATATAGTTTCGCAATGCATTGACTCAACAGAACTCTTATCAAAATTAAATCTCTATGCACCTACTCGGCAACTCCAAAATCGAAATGTATTTGCCATAAACCATCGTCGCACAAATTATGCAAAATATGGGCCATTAAATCGCATGATGGCATCTTACAATCAAAACTGCGAAACCATTGATTTTAGAATGTCTCGGCATTAACTAAAATACTATGCTAACTCCATACGCAATAATAATTTATAAGAAGAAAAATAGGAAAGCACACACTGCTTGATTTTTATTTAAGACAAAATTGTAATTTTTACTTTTTATTTCAAAGAATTTTCTTATATTTAAGAAAAAAAAACTCTATATGTATTCCACTCTCAATATCATGAGTTGGCAACCCTGCACACTTAGAAAAAAATCATGTAAATTTAGATGCTCTGAGACTGATATATACGAGCGTTTGACATAAAATTGAGTCATAACAGACGCGAAATTCAATTCAATCAAAGGTAATTTTCGTCGAGTATCGAACTTTTCAGTTTCGGAGCCCTTAATTTTTCATTACATGTGTGTTTACGTCTCATACTTTATCCCAAGTAACAATTTTGGTTTTATGAGGGTTCTGTAGACCACGATTCAGACTTGTAGAATGCTATAAAACCTCTATAAAACATCCAATGTCACTTGGGTATGTCAAAGATGGATTCCGTCACGTGTAAAATTAGTTATTTCTAAGTGTGTGTTTGTATAATGACTTTTGTGATTGTTTAGGTTTACATCGGTTTCTCGGTGGGAAAATGCTCAGGAAATGCTGATGTTAGTAGAACTACCAACTTTTGTCTCCGATTTCACAAGGCCGTCCGAATTCGCATCCTGAAGACGTTATATTACCGGAAGCCGCCATCTTGAATTTCAAGATGGAGTCATCAAATTACGGTCCCTAGACGGTATCCCGATTCCGAAAATACCCATATTGAAGGGTATTTGACATTATTTTCCAGGTTTTCTATAATCGAAAGCAACCATCTTGAATTTTAAGATGGTGTCAGACATCGATTTTCGGTCTCTAACGGGACCACGTTTCCGAAAATACACATATTGAAGGGTATTTGCCAGTGTTTCCCGTTTTTCTATAACCATAAGCCACCATCTTGAATTTCAAGATGGCCAAAGTCTATACACGTCACCCTGATTCCGAATATACTCATATTAAAGGGTATTTGACAGTATTTCCCAGTTTTTCTATAACCGGAACCTGAGTACTGCGAACTAACTCAAAAAGCTTGTCATCTGGGAGCCGAGTCGAGCTGTCAAACGGGAGCCAAACATTCAAAAGAGCTCAGAAGTGATGTGGGAAGTTACTGTTTGAACCACAATAAAGGTATTGCCACCTACTGAAAACAAATTAAGAATTACATTTATTTTCTTATTTTTTATATCAATTTATTTGTACCGGCTCAATCGAATAAACTTTACAGAGCCGAGTTATCATTTGCAATATACATGATTAATTTCTTAAATCTAGAGTTAAAGGAATTGAACCGATTACTCGCGGTCGTCTCGAGGTTAGTGGAGATTTACAATTTTTTGGATGGGGAAAGGGAGAAGGAGGTTTGAAATATGATTTATTATACAAATATTTAATTAATCCTAAAACATGAACTTATTTCTATTCATCTTGAAAACAAACATTAAAAAAAAACTACACGCACAATACACAAACTAAACACAAGGTTAATCAAACTTACAATCTAAGGTTAGTATTCTTAAAGTAAACATATATGAGTTTCATAAACTCCAGATCACGTCTAGCCAAAATATCCCGAACTGGAACATTAGGTTGTCTACCTCGAGCCCGAAGGGAATCGCACAGCTCAGATCTGACACCACGATGCTCAGCACAAGACCAAAGGATGTGATCGGCGTCTTGGTAACCTTGTCCACATTCACAGAGATTGCTGTCTCCCAGCCCAACACGAAACAAGTGAGCGTAGAATTATATTTATGAAACTGTCGAAACATCAACCTTAGTAGGCGGCTAATGTTAATCATTGAACGTGATGCTCGAATAAGAGTTTTTATTTGATATTAATAATAATGCCCAAACTGGGTCACGAATTGCTGCAACAAGAATTTAATCAAACTTTATAAGAGTCATGTGTGCTTTGTGGGCAGGTGCACTCCCAACACCATGTATACGTTATTTGTGCAGCAAAGAAGGAGAAGCTAAGAGTTCAGTTGACAGCATGTATATACGATTTCGTGAGCTGTTTCAGCAAAGCAATTTGAAGCTTCGAAAGATTTTCAAGATGTTTTCTTGCTCACTTAAAAAATTAATATCGACAGAGTTCGCAATACCCTGACCGGAACCCACCATCTTGGATTTCAAGATGGCTTCAGACATCGATTTCCGGTCTCTAGCCGTCACCCCGTTTCCAAAAAGGTTCATATTGAAGGATATTTTACAGTTTTTCTATAACCGGAAGCCGCCATGTTGAATTTCAAGATGGTGTCGATTAGAAACACTGGAAAAAGAGACCAGCGGAGAAAAAAAACATGAATTTGACAACAAGATAAACATCAAAGCAATCCTGGCATCACTTGCATTTGTAACTGCTTGCGAGTTACTTCGCCAATGCACCGACGAGCGAGTTCATGAGTGATTGTTAAATGGTTTTAATACTCCTCCCTAATTGAAGCAAACCATTTGTAAACATTGCAGATTGGAACCGGTTTTGACAGTTCGATTGGAATCAGAACAGTGTCTCCGTTGGCCTCTTATTCCAGTGTTTCTAGTGTCGATCATCATTTCCAGTCTCTTTACGTCACCAGATTCTGGAAATTCCCACACTGCATACTTGCATACTTCATTTGAATACCCAGTTTTTTCTGTATTCAAAACCACCATTTCGACTGGACATTGCATAAATTTATTCAGTGATCGCATAATCATTAGCAAATTGATATTTTTCACTCTTATACGCTCTCAATATCACACAAAATATCACGTTTGATATTGATTTTACAAGCTCCTTTAGCGAACCCCAAATGTAATTAATTTTGTCAATACTTACAAGTATTGGCAATATTATTGATAGTGTGAATACATAAATATTGTCGTGTGGGGTGGACTTTTGATATTGTGAGACTATTCACAACGTGTAAAGTTGAAGCTAAAGGCCGGCGCACAATAGATACGTTTTCGGGTTTTTGACAGATAATGCATGGGCTAACTGTCAAAAAACCTGAAAACGTATCTATTGTGCGCCGGCCTTAAGAGTTGAATCGACGCAAAAATGACTCCATTGCACCTCGTTTTCTTACAGAGAAATTTGTTATTGGTTCAGTTCCAGCCTGTATCGGATATCAAGATTGGATCTGCTTGCTATTTGTCAAACGTCAGTATGAATGTTTCTTTTGTAACCTGGCTCGGGTTGAGGTTTTCAGTGACAATAAGCTCGGGTTCACTCGGGTTGGAACTGTGGTTCCAATCAACAAATTCGCTGTTAGAATGTATTATAATGATATCTCATCCTTTTTCACTTCACCGATGGCAGACACTAAGCGACTGCTGCCAGCCGTTATGGATGTTTCGGTTTCGTTCGGGTGTAAAGCGAAAATCATGAAACTCAATCTCACCACAGTTTGGTGAGATTTGCAGCTGGTGAGTTTTGTTAGCTTGGTATTTCGAGCTGCAATATCATAGCATGCCATATCAAGCGCAGTTGTTTGCTTGTTGATTTTTGCCTTCGAAAATCAAGCGTGATATCACAAACGAAGTGACAGACGGAGCGGCTCGAAAACTTTGGTGACTAACCTGCTATTGCAATTTTTCAGTGTACCACATGGCAACACCACTACTACTGGATTGTACCACATGGCCACACTA